GCAAATCTAGATGTTAACACTCACTCCCTTTAGGCAAACAAATACACACACATACCAATGCGAAAATAAAACACAAAAGCAGGCGGTTGATTGTGTCTACTTGGACACTGGGAGCAAAAGAATTGATGGCTGTTTGAGTGATAAATCTGACAACTGACAGGCAGACGGCAAACAGTTCAATGAACTAAGGCAACAAAGAGCGAAAGAAACACCGCTCTGTGTGGAGTGTGGCTAAAAGAAGATTTCAGCTGCTTGAGAATGGTACGAGCCGCTTAGAAGCGGTGGGCAACCGTAAGAGAGTGTGACTAAGAGCTAGCGTAGCAAATAAGGCAGTGTGTGCGGCTGACTCATACTCTTGGCCATAAGCAGCTGATGTGATATGCGAAGGAAAAAACTGAAGAAAACTGTGATAGCACAAAGTAAACACTTTCGTTATAAGCGATGAATTGATATGTGTGCTAGAAGGTGCATGTTGCAGTAGTGGCAAGCAATTGCTGCGCCTCAAAGGGCATTTGTGTGAGAAAAAAATAAATTTGTGTTCAATAAATATATATGTACAAGTAATACGAATTGAAGTTAAATATGCACATTTATATAATGCTGTTAGTCGCGCGCGCTTTGTTGCCACAATGTGTGGCATGTACGCTTACAGTTGAATGCCATTTCATTGAGTCCAGCTATGCAACTGATATCACGAGCTTATAAGTGTGGCAGCAAATACTTTATGATAGCCTTGAACGGGCAGCGGAACTCCACATACACACTCATATGTAAACATGAACACACAAACATGTGTATAGGAGGTGGCATTTAAACAGTGCTGATATTATTGTTTGTAAACAAAAAAAAAAAAATGAACTTCGGCTACATCGAAGCTATAATACCTTTCACAGCTGAGTTACTTATAGCATAAAAGGTTATAAGGAGATTTTTTGCTGTGCTTTTGGTAATAGTCTGTGTCAAATTTCATGAAAATTCCTCTTCAAAAAAAAAAAAAAAAAAAAAAAAAAAAAAAAAAAAAAAAAAAAAAAAAAAAAAAAAAAAAAAAAAATTCCATACAAAAACTTGATTTTAAACTGACAATTTGTATGACAGCTATATAATATAGTGGTCCGATCTTGCCAATTTATCTAGAGATTGCAACACTATCTGTGAAAATAGTCCTTGCCAAATTTACTGTTGATAATTTGTAAAATAAGTTGGTATTTCTTACAAGACCTTTGTCATAATCTGTCAGTTTGTATGGCAGCTGTATGTTATAGTGATCCGATTTAATTAATTTATTCAGAAATTATAGCGCTGCCGTGAAAAATAATCCTTGCAAAATGTAGTGAAGATGATTTGTCAGATAAGTAAGTTTTTCATATAAGATCTTTGTCTTTAAACGTCAGTTTGTACGACAGCTATAATGGTCTGATCTGAACAATTCATTTGGAGATTATAACGCTATCTGAAAAAATGACTTGTGCCAAATTTAGTGATGATAATTTGTTAAATAAATAAGATTTTCATACAAAACCTTTGTCATAATCGGTCAGTTTATATGGCAGCTATACGTTAAAGTGGTCCGATCTAAACATTTTTTATGAAAATTTTAGCGTTGACTTCAAGTGTTATTTGTGTCAAATTTCGTGTAGATATGTTGTTACTAAAGACAGATTTCCATACATAAGCTTGATTTTGATCGGTTAGTTTGTATGGCAGCTATGAGCTATAGTGGTCCGACCTAAACAATTTTTTCGAAGATTGCATTATGGTTTAAGAGTTTCTTCTTCTTCTTCTTAATTGGCGTAGACACCGCTTAAGAGTTTAGCCTATGCGAAATTCCATGAAAATATCTCATCAAATGAAAAAGTTTTCCATATGAAGTTATAATTTTGATCGTTCAGTTTGTATGACAGCTATATGCTAAAGTATTCCGATATCGGCAGTTCCGACAAATAGACAGCTTCTTACGAAAAAAAGACGTATTTAAAATTTCAGCATGATATCTCGAAAACTTTGGGATTAGTTCGCGTAAAAACAGCCGGTTGCACGTACTAGACTTGACTCAATCGGCTCAGCTCGTCACGCCGTAATTTTTGTATAGAATATACGTTATAGGATCTCCGAGTTATCTTCAAGCTATTACAAACTTAATGGCAAATTTAGTACACCTTGTGCAGGGTATAAAAAAGTAGTGGCAAATATTTGTACCACTTCTATGGTACTCATATACGTAGTTGTAGCTGTCCACGTATGCTCTACACACGTCAGGGCCCGCTCTAAAGTGCTGCTAAGTATTACAAAGTATTAAATTCCATTAAATGCAGGAAGCTGTTGAATTTCCTGCTTGCCACACAACAATATCGCTACAGTTATAAAAACGCACAGCTACATTTTGCATTACTGTGTGTGTGGCTCTACGCCCAGCAACCAGACCATACTCCTATAGTTAGAAGCAAGTAATTTATTTTAATGGCAACACCATTAACGACTGATGATTTTAATGTTTCTTTTAGCTTTTTTTTTTTTTGGTGTTTGCTAGCCTTTTGTTGCCTCCGGCACGGCGAGTTCAGTGGAATCCTTTTAGCATGCGCTCATTTTAGCTGCAAAGCATATGCAATTTAACGTATAGTTTGGCTGTGACAATGACTGCACTTGAAACAGTTTTGAAGGTCTCACTACAATGTGCCACAAACGCGCATACACACATATGAACATTTAGCTACAGGCCACATGTTCATACACAAATGCACACGGCGGAGTTGTAGTCAAATTTCTATAATTACAATGCTGCCAATTTAGTTGGTATGCAGTGTCTATCAAATAGCTAGTCAGTCGTGTAGTCGGCAGCAGCTAATCGAGATGAAGTTTTGTGCTTGCCATATATATATCTATATGCCACCGACTCGAATAGTTACTTTTGCCGCCATTATCTCTCAACCCAGCATTATCTTGCGCTCATTTCGCTGTAATTGTGTGTATGTGTTGGTGTGTGCGCCCGTGCTGTCCCCCGGGACATCATTGTCTGCCAGACGAAAACTGGTTAATTGTTAATCAGTTGACTAGCATTGGCATTGGCATGTGTCGGATTACAAATTGGCTGACTAACTGCAAGCACTAATATGTACATACATACGCGCATATATGTGTAATCACATGCTGTCGCTGGCATCTGCAGTATCTGTCGGATATTAATTTTGTAGTTTGGGCCTTGCCGTCGACGGCGACGTCGGTGCTGCATGCTGTTCAAGCCCACTTGAAATTTTGCCGCTTGTAGAGCTTTAATTAACTAGGCGTTGCCACATAACTGGTAACTGATAATCGCTTGCTGCTAATTGTTGATGCAGAAAACAGCGCTGCGTGCAAGGAGGGCATTCTGTTGGAAGTTTTATTATTACTCAGGCATCTTAATCACTTTCATTGCTTTTCACGTCTTGTAGTTGTATGAAGAGACAAAGTAAGATTGTACGTTTCTGATGTTGTTTCGTACAAAAAGCTTTCGCGATCATATATCGTCTTATATCATCATATAGATGATTCTAAAAACCTGTAACTTTTCAGAGATACATATATCCTCCAGAGTACTACCATACTTAGTATATTATTTGAGCTAAATAACTCGTAAAAGAACGATCTTCTAGGCTTTCGAAGTACATTTAGGCATAGTATACAAATACGCTCCCGAATAAAGCTCACAAGTTTTATAACGCTTATTTTGAGAGGTTGAATGACTTAAAAAGCTTCACACTAAAAACTACATTCTATGAAAGCGGCGGTATAAGGCTGACAAAAGCTATAAAGCCCACGTTCAAAGCTTTTTAGAGCATAATTAGCTCTCGAAGATCATAGAAAGCTTAACCATAAAGTTTCCGAGCAAAGCTTAAAGTATAGAAAAGCTCTTTCATAAAACTTTGAAATCTCGTAAAGCTTATTCTGCGGGAATTTCCCATCACAAGTAGTTCTTCAAGTTGTTAAGAACCTTTAAAACTTAAATAAGTTGATATAGTGTTTATATAACTTAAAAAACTTACTATTTAAGCAGCTTCGGCCATCGTTAACTACTTAAAAGCTTCTTAGCAAAGCTGAATGGAAATAAACTGCTTCATTTTGAAGCTCACACATCTTGTATGGCTCAACTTTTGAGGTTTTTAAAGAAATATGAGATCAAACAAAAGCATAAAAACCTCTGAAATATAGCCGATCAGTTCCGGCCATAGATGGAACGTGTTTCCCATAAAAAGCTCCACACCGAAGCTAAATTATTAAGAAAATTTTTCTGTTTAAAGCTCAATAATTTTATATAACTCACTTTTTGAGTGATTAGAAATTCTCTAAGAGCTTCCAACTTAATCTTATAGGTTATAAAACTCCTATATAGCGCAGAATTACTATAAAGCTAATATCTCGAACACCTCCGGTATTAATAAGCTCCTTTTGGCCTTAAAAATCAACCCTATAAAGTTAAAGGTTTATAAAAATCTTTAGCTTTAACCTCATAAAGCTTGTTTAATTTAACTGCTGAGCTTTTTCAAAAATGTTGTTCCACGAAGACCTTAAAAGCTCTTTCCTAATGCTCAAAGTTTATGAAAACTTCCTAATCAAGCTCGTAAGCCTTATAAAGCTTACCCTCAGCGCATCCGTGACCAAATTTAACTCTTCAAGTCCTACAAAATTTTCACACTAAAAGTTGAAACATACAGAAAGCTTCATTATCTCAAAAAGCTCACCTTTTTTCAACAAGCCAGTGGTGCCGATAGTTCTTTGAAGATAGGAGGAAAAAAGGTGTTTAAAAGATAAAAGATAAATGTAAAATAGGTTTAGTTTCAAAGCCTTAAAAATGAGTAAGAAATAAAGAATATAGAAAAGAGAAAAAATTAAATTTAAAGAAACTTGAAATTACAGGATATTACTACATATTTTTTTTTTTTAATTTTTGAGGAATCTTTTAACATATTTCTACAATGAATATGATAACTTCATTGCTCGTACAATAATTTCCTTTTCTCTTTTTACAGTCCAACGATTACACCTACCAAAACACGTTGGGACGTCGCTCGACACTTGGCGCTTACTATCATATGAACAAACAACCTTCGTACACGAACGAACACAGTCTAAATAGTCAATACAGTTATAATGCGTGGGGCATATGGCGTGATGGACGCAATATAGCGCCCTCCACATTCTCCGCCAAAACGCATACACACTACCAGAAGCCGCGTTCATTCTCCATTATACTCACGACCGCAGTGTTTATTGTGCTACTCGCCGTGATCTCAATAGCCGGACTGGCGTTCTACTTCAGTTCGGTGAAAGCGAATATGGAGGATCGTGAGTATTTTGGCATTAACGAAAACTTAAATTTAACAAATAATATATTCTCAAACTTACAGCTGTGTTGGGTTTCGAGGGTTCGTTTCGCATAGCGAAGGGCGACCTCTTCTCGACGGGTCTAAAGTACAATCATACGACTACTTATAAGCAGAAGATCGAATTTTATAAACGTTTCATTGAACGTTCGCTAATGGATAACGGTTTGCAGCCGTTGCGTGTGGATACGTGGGGCTTTGGTGAGGGGCCGCTGATAAAAGTCTCATTTCGCACATTTTTGGATGTGAGAAAATTGCCACAGTGAGTAGGAAACTATTTTCGATATACCGAGTAGAACTAAACTTAAAGTTTATTGTAGAAATATACACAGTGTTGAGGATTACATCAAGGAATCGCTCTTTCTGGAAACCACTGCAGCTAAGTCTCTTTATCGCTCGCTGCGTATAGATGCTGAGTCGGTGGAGATTAAACGTATACTGGATGAGTCAGTTGTGCGCGCTGCTTCGCTCTTCAAGGATGCTGTACGTATTATTTATTTGATTTCTCTAACTGTTGTCTATAATTCATGAGTTCATAACTACCAGGTGCAGCAGCCAACTAGTCAATCACAGCTGGAGAAGCGTCTAATGAAGAAACCCAATGCGCCAACTCTACTCTCTAAGCCAGCTACCACAGTAAAACCACGAACTACACATCGTCCACACTCAGTCGATGATGAACCCGATGTCGATGTGGAGAATGCGCCAGTTATACAAGGTTCTTTCGAGGGTTCATTCGAAATTACTAAAACCGATGCCGATATCTCACGCAAGAAGGTTACGCCGACCAAAGCATACAGCAGCTTACCACCGAAGGCGGTTACGCCATTTGCGTTGCGCGTCAAGCCGAAAAAACCATCAATAGAGAAGCTCACAACAATCATACCACAGAATCAGCCTTCACCTACGACTGCTGCCGCAACACCGACAAGCACTACGCGTGGCACTAGTACTGCTAAAACTACACGCACTACTTCGACTACGACAACTAGCACGACTACCACGACACGCAAACCGACTACAACGAGCACCAGCACCACCACTACTACCACAACTACAACTACACCACCACCAACGCCACCACCTACTACAACTACTACGTCTACCACAACAACAACAAGCACAACCGCAAAACCCGCAACCATCCTACCGCTGACGTATCCACCGCCTACCGCTTTTTCGCCGAAACAACAATACAGCTTACCACCGATGACTACACCGTCCATTGCTTTGAGTGTGCCGAAGTTGGATGCTAACCTCTTTGCGTCAGCTCCGGTGCTCGATACCCAACCTTGGCGTCCGATACATCGTGAAGTGCCTGAACTGTTGCCTGGACCACCACCCGCCTTTCCCACAAAAACACTTGCTAGCGTAGACAAGCCAATGCCGGTGGCACCACTCGCACCACTCGCACCAGCCTACAGACCTGATCTACCAATGCGGCGAAATGATGAAATGGAGTTGCCGTTTATACCCGATAACCCCTCACCACCGACACCGTCTGCCTTCAATCCATACGCATCCGGTTACTTTGGTACCGCTGTGCGTAAACCGGAAATCAGCGCAGAGACAACAAATCCACAAGATATGCTATTCTATCACAGTTTCGGTAATCCTGTATTCATGCCTGGCACTGAAGATATAGAACGCTTAGGCGCAGGCGCACATGTGAAGCCACATCCATTGCCGGTGCCGCTAATCGACGATGTCATCATACCGCCATTTAAACCGCTCATACCGGGCATGGATAAAGTGCCGATTGAATCTAATGAAAAGTTTGAGCATCTCGGTGGCGGTGTGATCGTTAAAAAGCACGAGTTGGAATTGGCGACTGCACAGGAGAAGTCAAAACCCAACACCCAGGTCGTGGCTAGTAATAACAAGAATGAGAGTGAGACCGAAATACCAACGTTGCTGCAACAATTCGCTTTGGAGGGTGTCACAACCTCAACATTTAGACCGAAAGTTAGCACACCGAACATTAATCGCATTGAATCGAGTGCTAACTCTGAGTTGGCTGACACAATTGGTGAATTCTTTATGGGTTTGTTGAACTTACCAAAAGAAAATGCACGCAACACAACGAAACCGACAGTAGAGCGAATCGAGTCGCGTATAGAACCAGAAGAAAATGTGGAAGATATGGCGACCGAGCCAGAAACTAAAGTGATATCGAATGAAGAGTTTCCGGAGGAAGATGTACAAGAAACCACCATACCAGTTACGGCAGTGGCGAGTGAACCAGCCTCGATTGAAACGGAGAGTGTTGAAAAGCCAGTGGTGGAAGTTATTGAAGAAGTGGCAACAACAGCAAGACCCACTTTCTTAAATATTAAAGAACTCATTCTAAAGCGCAATCAGGCCAAAAACCAAACGCGTAATATCGACAGCATAACCGGACGCCCAACGCCTACAACAACACCAACCACTACAACGCCAACTACGCCGCCAAGACTCTTTAGTCCCACACTGAAGCCGCCAGTGACAAATTGGAATCGCCCTAGACCCACATACAACCAGAAACCACCGACCATACTTGATGACTCCAATCTCTTTCCATCGCAATCGAAATGGGAATTCATGAATAGTTCGGCGACAAATAGCTTCGGTCATACGGGCAACATGCGTAAGGTATTCAATAAGACGTTGCAGGCGTGGATTTCCGAAGATGTGGGCGGTAATACGGAGGATAACTTCACGCTTAATGACATCAAGACACGCATAAATAATGCGACCAACATACAAGATATTTCGCTTATCTTCGATACGCTGGCCTCCAAGTTGGGCATTACGCCCATGGTACAAACAAAAGTGCCACCATTCTCACAGAATAAACTTAAGCACACACAGGTCACGAGCGACAGCAGAAACAAGTTGCCAAACACAACGACAGTACCAACCACCACCACCACCACCACTACCACAGCACGTCCATTAGCGTTTAGAGACAAACCGGCAACAATGACCACAGTGTATTGGATGCCCACAACAAGAAGAGGCACAATAACGGCAGTACCAGCGACCGCAACCAAAATGCCTTGGACAGCAACAGCAACAACAACAAGAAGAATGACAACTACGACAACAACTAAAGCAAGCACAGCAACGACAATGCCAACATTGCGCACGAGGCCAGCCATAACCACAACAACAACAATTGCGACGCCGACAACAACTAAAGCACCAACAGTTATGGCAACAGCAACAACCGACGAACATTTCATTGAACTTCCGCTACGACAACAAGAGCCATTCATCAAGCCCATGTCCAGTTTCATGGAAGACACATCCTCTGAGGGCATCGGTGCGGCCATACCAGTTGTGGGTGAGGCCGAGGTGGAGGTCATCGACCCAAATAAATACGAGGAAATGTTGAAGTCATCACAGTTTGCGGCGGATACCACAACGGAAACGGCACCACAATTGGTCACATTGCTGCCCGTACGTTCCAACTCGGGCATACGCACATACCGTCCGGCCGTGGATGAGGAGGCTGAGGCGCGCAGTAGCAACGGCAATGATCAATTGCCGTTGGCTGAGGGCACCGGCCAGGTGGAAGTTGTGCCAGAAGTGCTACATGGTACGGCTGGTGTGGCAGAGGTTGTGGAGGATGCCGTAAGCGACCCGGTGGTGTCGACAACATCCATGCGTCCGAGTGTTGTTACGGCGCCACGACATGGTGGCGGCTTTTTCGCTGGCATACGTAGAAAGAGCGACATTAGTCAGGCGAGAAGGTTTCCGCCGGCCGAAGCGGTCGTCAAGGGTGGACTACATGTGAAAGTCAAGTGAGCGGATTGGTGAGGTGACCAAGAGAAAGAAGCCTTGAAAGGCATAACTCAATTAGTGCGAGATTTCTGCGTTTGCTTTTGTGCTTTGTGTGAAAAAGAAAAGGAAGACTATGAAAAGAAAAAGCAGAAAAACGAAACATGGAAGGGAAAGAAAAACAAATTTGCGACGAAAAAATTTCAGTTAGAAAATGTAGACAAAAGTGTTTAGTCATCTTAATTGCTTGGGTTCTAATAACCGTTTTGTAGCAAGCCCTGCTAGGTATCTTCACCTAGCAGGCGTTTATGAAATAAGTCTCCGTTTTAAGGCGGTATTTATTTTTTTTATATTATTTTATAAGTCGACAGGCAAATTCTTGTTCACTGGTTGTTAGCTGTCATCACTGAGTAACGTCCGACAGTTTTAACAATTTCTGAATGACAACAATTAATATAGCATAAAAATCAGGTTATGTAATTGAAACGAGCTGCATTCAAATTTATGGAGAAACAATGACATTACTTCCATAAATAACTATATATTTTAAGTA